TTTATCAGGCTTTTTATGTTTTTCTCTTGACCAGGTACAGCACAACCTCCTCATGACACTTGATGTAGGCCTCCGTGTTGTGTTTCAGGCCCTCAGCAACAAATTCGGGAGTTCTTTTCTCATCAGAACGTTCAGAGTGAGTTCTTCGAGCTGTCGTACCTTCGTAATCACCATTAGACTCATCCAACTCTTTCGAATCTTTCGCACTGTCCTCAGATTGACATTGACACCAAAACACTCTGAAATGTCCGTATTGGAGCTACCGCCGCGAATGCCAATCAGTACAACACTTTCCCCAGATTTTAGCGGATTGAATTGCGTCATGATACTCTTTTTCTCACAGCCGGTGCCCAACTGACCCTACTATACTGTGCAGTCGACAAAATAATAAAAAAAAACAAAAAAACAACGCACATGCGCGAATTGAAAATTATAAAATGGCGACAATTTACCCATCGCGCCCTGTAATATATCTATATACCTGTGTATGTGGCTCTGTGTGTATAATAGCTTTAACACTCGTCTGCTAAACGTATCAGTTTTCTGTTAATGCCGTTTGCCTTTACAACGAGTCGGGGCTTCCCTCCGAATAAGCCTTCACAATCGTTGAGTCGAAGTTTGAGATCAAGAAACGTCACTCCGTTTACAAAGGAATAAATAGCGAATTTATTTTCAGATGCGTGTGGAGAGGCACATGTACAAAAGGCAAGGAGAGGAGGTTGTTTTCCCGTTCATTTGGAATCAGATACGTTCATTTGGACGTGACAATGAATTATGCATCTGAACTGCAACTTTGACGAGTAAAGAGATCGATTAATGTATCAGCCAATACAACTTCATTTACACTTTCCTACGCATGTTGGCAAGAAAAATTACACACACACACACACACATATATATATATATATATATATATATATATATAGCTATTTTTTGTGTCCAAGGAGCGTGTTTTTGTAAAACAAAATCATATCAATTGCAAAAATAATTTTTCCTGGGAAAAACTAAACTTATATCCCAAAAAATGTGCGGTACTAATTTTCTCAATGAAAAACAGATTTTCATAAAACACGCAAAAACTTAACACGCCACCCGCATATATATATATATATATATATATATATATATATATATATATTTATATATGTGTGTGTGTGTGTGTGTGTGTGTGTGTGTGAAATGGAAAAAATGTCGTTTTCCAAAAACAACCTACTGCTCGAGCAGCAAGCCAATCCCTGCGCAGACACTCGCTCAGGCATATGTTTGTTCAGCACACGCACACATTCACACACACACATACACACACACTCATACATAACCCACCTGTGACTTATAATGTAACTATGCTGAACAGACCAGAAACATATAGTCTGTCATCATCAGCAGTTTGGACCCTCGGTCCCGCTGACTTGTGATTTGTGCCAACGCAACCATAGACGGCTTCCGAATAGCTTTGTCTAGCCAATTTCACTCACAAAGCCGTGATACAGTTTTCAGGCACACACACATTATATATATATATATATATATATATATATATTAAATAAAAACAGACCACTTTAAGGTTCCATGTGATAAATTATTTCACCACAGCCCTTTTAAAGGACTGCAGATCATCAGACTTTACTTCTAAATTTTATCCTCTTTATGTTTACCCATACGGATTACCTAGTTTTTCATAAACTATATATATATATATATATATATATATATATATATAATATAAATATTATGACGATTGCGTCTACCATGAAACAGCCTGTCGCCTCTAAGTGTTGACTTCAATGTTCACTTTGTGTTTGTGTATATATATATATATATATATATATATGTGTGTGTGTGTATATATATATATATATATATATATATATACACACACACAGGCGTCCATAGTGTTCGTGTGCACCTTAAAAAATTTATAACTATTTGTATTTGCAATAGAAATAATTTGTAAAAACGATTAGAAAGAAGTAAATCTATATTTTTTAATGTTTTATTGAAAATTTTATTTAAGTTTCCACATGTCCTCCATCATTAGCAATACAAAGGGTAATACGATTTTGCAGTTCACGGAAAACATTTGCCAACTGATTTACAGTAATGCCTGAAATCACGAAATTTTAGCTATACTTAAAACTAGGTATATTAAACTTTATAACATTTTCTACAGATTATTTCTATTGCAAATACAAATAAAGTTATAATTTTTTAAAGTGCACACGAACTCTATGGACACCCTGTATAATTTTAGTTTAAGTAGCGTCTGTATTTTATCCATTTTATTATTTTAAAAAAATAAGAATTTAATTTTTTTTTTATTATAACATATAGGACATATTAAGCCAAGAATTTTTATTTTCAAGGGAATTGTAATATTAAAAAAATCTGCGCATTTTCTATTATTGGACACCACTGAGTAACTCAAAAGTGTCCCTAAAGTGTCTTGACTGTATTTTGATAGCACGATATATATATATATATATATATATATATATATATATATATATATATATATATATATATATAGTGAGATTTTAGAGTAGAATGCGGTGTACACATTGCTGACTCTGTGCTTTGAAAGCAGGGGTCCACATGACATAACCCAGAGCAGTGGGATGATGAGAATAGGGGGTGGAATGTCAGTAGCTTGGTTTTGGGGGTATTGAATGCTAAAAGCCAGTTTACCCACCACCTCCTTGAACCGTTAGAGTTATGTCATAGCAGAGATCAGCTTCTAGGGGCTGGTCAACTAGATTTTCCTCGAAGCTCCCATAAACTCTTTCATAATCTTATCAACGCATTGCAGGTTATTTAAAGCCAAAAATATTTATTGATTGTAAGAATTTTTTTTTTAGAGATAAAAATGATTTACTGATACGTGTTCTGCGAGTTGGGGGAAGAAGTGTATTCTTACCTTTCCCAAGGGTATTTGTGCGTAAGTGAATATAACGAACACGGCTGGAATTGAAACTCGGACCTCAGATTTACAATTCCGAGCCATTATCCATTACATCACCCGTACATCTAAGTTTCTGCACCTGGTATTCCCAGGAGGTCACCCATCTAGGCACGGACCCAGACTAATGATCTGAAAATGTCCTTGTGCTGATTGCTAAAATAAAGCAGAATAGGTGTAGGACTCAAGATGAACCTTTCCAAAACGAAAACTGCGATCTGTATTTGGAAGGAATGCAACGATAGCGCGTACCCTGAATTCATCACAAATTATCAAGACGTGGAAGAGATAAATGCTAAACACTTCAGATACGTTCGTGTGTTGATCAGATTTAACAAATTTAATACGATGTGGCATCCGGAAAATAGAGAGGTTCCTGCATTGATAGTTTTCATAGTATACTCAAGGAGTTTGCTGTTAACATTAACGAGACTGATGAGACGGTTTTCTAAAGAGGATGGGCGATCAACCGCATTTTGAAAACTGGGCAGACAGTTTACTACCGTCCATAAATCAGGTAGATAAGGGTTGATATAATCATTCAGATAGATAGATAGATAGATAGATAGATAGATAGATAAGATTTTTAGGGATCGATATAATCAATTAGATAGATAGATAGGGATTGATATAATCAATTAGATAGATAGATAGATAGATAGATCTTCAGTCATTACTTAAAACTTGACGGATGAAAGTAACTCAATTTAGCAATTATCGTTAATCACTATATAAAGTAAAATAAGTAACATCAGACTATTATAAAAATAGGAGTCCTTTTTTTCCAAATTATAAACAAAATCAATAAAATAATTTTAATAAAAAAAAGTTAAAAGGAAAAAAGAAAGAAAGAAAGAAAGAAAGAAGAAAGAGAGGGAAAAATAATCACAATGAAAAAACAAGCAAAATGAATAGAAAGTCGGAAAAGAGTTGATCGAATGGTTCGTTTTTTACGGCTTATTAACCCTTTGCACGTTATTTAAAGCCAGAAAATATTTTTAGATCTGTTGTGGGGCTCTCCTCTTTTTACATAAGATGGACTCATCCAAAGTATACTGATACTGGCAGAGAGAATACCTGCTGTTGAGATACGCTGAAAAACGTGAAAATACGTGGAGATACGTTGAGACAGGTTGAGATATACAGAGACAGACACAGGGTGTTCTCAGAGAGTTATACAAGAGTCCAGAGAGAGAGAGAGAGAGAGAGAGAGATGATTACGGCTTTACTTACAGAGATTAGTACATATACTTTCTACTAACCCGCATTCCTGGACTACTAATCTTCACTTCAAGTCTGTATTCTTACGTTTAATACACTTATTTTTCTATCTCAATTACTGGCGTTGTTTATTTATTTGTGCAGGATTCCATCCCCGGAATCCACAACAAGATTTTAAGATTTCTGATACAAATTTGACTAATTAACCCATAGATGGAGGAAGAAGAGGGGGATTTATACTTTTCTCAAAGGTATTTCCACAGAAATGATTATAACAACAAATATGTAATATAATTGGCCCTGATCTGGCATCTCGTCTACAGTCACTCTCTCACAGACGCGCCTTCGCCTCTCTCTGTCTTTTCTACAAATACTTTCATGGTAATTGCTCCGATGAGCTGCTTTCACTGATTCCCAGACTCCATGAATTCAAGCGCCCTACGAGGCTGGCATCTCGCTTTCACCCTTACACTGTAGAAACTTTTAAATGTAGCCGTCTCTTCTACTCCAATAGCTTTATACCTCGCACCTCTCGCCTGTGGAACACCCTTCCCAATTACTGTTTCCTTGAGAGCTATAATCTCCAACTATTCAAATGTAATGTCAATCGACATCTGCAGTTGCCCTGATCTTTTCACTATCCTTCTCCTCATCCTTTCTTCTATCACTCCTATCTGCTCTCGCTCCAAATCTTTTGCAACACCCTGCATCCTAGTGGCTTCCCGCCTTGCTCGGGGCGTAATGCTTAAAAAAAAACACAACTGGATTCTCCGATTAATAATTCCCAGCCATTAACCATTACAGAACCTGTGCATCCAATCTTACGTTACCTACTATTCCAAAGTGGTCACTCATCTAGGTTTTGACCAGGCCTGACATCGCTTAACTTCGGTGATCATACAGGAACTGGTGCTTCAATGTGAGATGACCAAAAGCCAACTTATCGTTGAGAAGAAATGAATGCACAGCAAAAAATTGGATTTCTAATTTACAAACACCTCTATAGCTAATGCTGATAATAGATGTTACCACCAGTATCCTTCCCGGCAAAAGCATACAAGTAAAGTCAGATTTTGTTTGTGCGTGTGTGTGTGTGTGTGTGGTGGAGATAACAATGGTTTTCTGATACAAGCCTTACTAATTAACCCATAGCTGGGGGAAGAAGGGTATTTGCGCGTAAGTGAATATAACAATGGTTTTCTGATACAAGCCTTACTAATTAACCCATAGCTGGGGGAAGAAGGGTATTTGCGCGTAAGTGAATATAACAATGGTTTTCTGATACAAGCCTTACTAATTAACCCATAGCTGGGGGAAGAAGGGTATTTGCGCGTAAGTGAATATAACATACCCAACGAGAATCGGCTCTGAGATTAAACAATTCGACTCGTGATCTATTACACCGCCCACACATTCAAGCTTACAGCACCTAGTATCCCTAACTGGGCACCCATCTAAGTGTTGACCAGATTCGATGTTGCTTAACTTCGGTGACCGTACGGGAACGGGTGTTTCAACGTGATGTGGTCGAAACAAAGACAGAATTTTTTTTTTTTAAAATATGATATAAAAATGAAAGAAACAAGCAAGAGAAAAAGAAAGAATAAATATTGAGAACGAAGATAAAAAAAAAGAATGAAAGAATGTGATACAATTTAAGAATGAAAAGGTAGACATAATGAAAGCAAAATGAAGAATATGAAGGAAATAAAAAAAGAAAGATATGAGGAAGGGAAAGAAAGAAAGAAAGAAAGAAAGAAAGAAAGAATATGGCGGAAACCCTGAAACAGATAAGAAAGAAAGAAAGAAAGAAAGAAAGAAAGAATATGGCGGAAACCCTGAAACAGATAAGAAAAAAAAAAAAAAGAAAGAAAGAAAGAAAGAAAGAAAGAAAGAAAAAGAAAAGAAAGAAAGAATATGGCGGAAACCCTCAAACAAATAAAAAAAAGAAAAAAGAAAGAAAGAAAGAAAGAAAGAAAGAAAGAAAGAATATGGCGGAAATCCTCAAACAGATAAGAAAGAAAGAAAGAAAGAAAGAAAGAAAGAAAGAAAGAAAATGGCGGAAACCCTGAAACAGATAAGAAAGAAAGAAAGAAAGAAAGAAAGAAAGAAAGAAAGAAAGAAAGAATATGGCGGAAATCCTCAAACAGATAAGAAAGAAAGAAAGAAAGAAAGAAAGAAAGAAAGAATATGGCGGAAATCCTCAAACAGATAAGAAAGAAAGAAAGAAAGAAAGAAAGAAAGAAAGAAAGAAAGAAAGAAAGAAAGAAAGAAAGAAAGAAAGAATATGGCGGAAACTCTCAAACAAATAAGAAAGAAAGAAAGAAAGGAAGAAAGAAAGAAAGAAAGGAAGAAAGAAAGGAAGAAAGAAAGGAAGAACGCGTCGGTTAAAAGCATTCATCTGGTTGTTGTGTTTACAAAGTATTTGTGGAAACTACCAACAACAGAAAGCCAGGTTCACACGTTGACGCTTGAACTTGTTTAATCTTTTCTTCGCATAATATCAGTGAAAAGGCTTTAAAAAATCATTTTTCCACCCCAATGGATTTGAAAAATCAAACCAGCGACAAAAATCTGGGAAGGCTCTTTCGATTCTATTAACAGTGAACATCATTTTTCAAAGATGATCCCATTCTATTTTTCTCGTATTAGCAATTCACAGAGAGAACCAGTGCAAGCTTTTAATAGGCCGGTTATCTTTAAAAAAATAAAATAAAATAAAATAAAAAAAATAAAAAAGATTAATCAACGAACTTCGGCCCCTAAATGATCGCGTTTGATTGGGCGGATCTCAAGGATTTTCGTTAGTGCAGACGACACGAAAAAAAAAAAAATGAAAGGAGGTGCTGCAAAGTTATCGGGCTGAGATAATTCAAAAATGAAATTTGATGTTTGCTTATTTCGTGTTTTCTAAATAGAAAGAAAGAAATAAGCAAAAAAGAAAATAAGAGAAAGAAAGAAAGGAAAATCGAAGAAAGAAAGAAAGAAAGAAAGAAAGAAAGAAAAAAGAAAGAAAGAAAGAAAAGAAGCAAAAAAGAAAATAAGAGAAAGAAAGAAAGGAAAATCGAAGAAAGAAAGAAAGAAAGAAAGAAAGAAAGAAAGAAAGAAAGAAAGAAAGAAAGAAAGAAAGAAGCAAAAAAGAAAATAAGAGAAAGAAGGAAAGGAAAATCGAAGAAAGAAAGAAAGAAAGAAAAAAAGAAAGAAAAAAGAAATAAAAAACGGGAAAGAAAGAAAATAAAAGAAAGAAAGGATGGAAGCAAGAAAGAGAACACAACGAAAGACGCTAAGAAATAAAATGAAAACAGAATGAAAGAAAGAAGCAAAAAAGAAAAATAGGAGAAAGAACGAAAGAAAAATATGAGAAAAAAAAAGAAAGAAAGGGTAGAAGCAAGAAAGAAAGAACAATGAAATACGCTAACAACTAAAATGAAATGAAAAAAGAAACAAACAAAGAATGGGACTTGGAAAAAAAATTTTAAAATGAAGTAAAATATGAGAAAGACAAAAATGAAAGAAGCGTAAGTTAAAAGCATTCACCTTCAATTTTATGGTTGCAAGTTAATTGTTGGAGTTACCAAGATAGGAATCTTCGCAAGTGTCTTTTGCCATATTTTAAGATTTTGTCTTCGTATAATGTTACAAATCTGTTTAAAAACATTGGCCAATGTTTGGCCAGTATATTCCTCTGCCCATGTGTCTCAGCTTGTGAGAGAGAGAGTGAGAGAGAGAGATCAAGACAGAGAAAATATCAATTTACTGTACTTATGAAGCCTAGTTTAATCCAAAACGAGACCATAATAGAAAGGAACCTGTAAGGATCGAACGCATTGCTTCTAGTTATAAGCTACTAGGCAAGTTTGATAATTACTGCGTTTTATAATCTTCCTGGAAAGTTTGCTAACTTTGCAATAATGGCCACGATTTACTGAACCATTAAAAATAAGCTATTTTTTTCTGTCCGCGTCGACATATTCATGAGAGAAAGAAAAATTGCGCTCTGGTATTTAGTTTGGCTTGTCTTGATTTGATTTACAGCATATTACCGGGTTATTTAATGCCGAATTTTGTCGTACAATAGATAAGTGGACAAAGGTTTGGTTTTTACAAGATTCAGAAACGTAGATATAGATTTTGGCTTGAACGACAGTCAGAAAAGTAGACATTGACTTGCAGCGTGTCAGAAAAATAATTGTCAATCCGGTTTTCACAGGAGCCAAAAAGTTAGTCATAGGTTTGGAGAAGAAGCAAGTTATGAACTTATTGATCTACCGCTATGTTTTGACAGATCGATTGTATGATTTTTCTGCAATTAAGACGCTTGTTACTTTGCTGTACCTTGTCTATTTTTGAGTTGATGCAGTTCGTTCAAATACATTTGTTCTGACCTGCTATTCTAAAACATTCCATATCCTTTTTTAAGTGTCCTTTGCGCAAATGCACCATTTTATTTATGTTATTTTTTGCTTCTAGAGTTCTCTATAAATGACCAGGTAACGTAACGATTACAAGCAAAGAAAATGGAACAGGCGTGCCGATTTCAAATTTTGACCGTGTATATTTTTGTTTACTTTGTATTGATGCACTTGGAAAAAAGTATGATGCCATCTCTATCCGGCTATGGGTTAAATAACTGTTTAGACTGGAAAATTTTTTATTAGGATGGCGGGTAGTCTAAGAAAAGCGGAAACATTGAATTCAAACTTATATTTTCTTTTGGGTATCTTTTGGTGAAAAGAAGGAAATCGTAACAGTGCTTCGATGCTATACTGCGTCTTCTTCCTGCAACCCTTGCAGCTGTGATAGCACCAAGCTCTATTTTTTTTTATTATTTACCAGAAAAGCCAGAAATTATCTTCTCTCGAGACTGATGTGGTTGCTTTGATTGTGTTTGCTTATGCAAGTTCTTTTTTTTTTTTTTAGAAACTTGCACAAAATTTCAAAGGTAAGTCGTTAAAAATGGCGGTTTTGATTGTAACTTCAACCAGTAAAGGAACATGTGCTTCCAGACCCCAAAATTAAAATTGAAGAAAACTGTCTCTTCAATTTCTCATACAAAGAAAAATACCGAAAATAAAATCTCTCATCTTTAATTAATTGATCTATGAACTTTCCAACGTGCTCGCTTGGAATGCTAATTCGTTTTGCGAAATAATTAACGTTCATTTCGCGTGGGCTTATTTAATTTTTTTTCCGATTTAATTAATTTTAACTATTTTTTTAATACTGGAGAATACAGTGAATAACTATATAGTTGATCAACCAGATTATGAAGACATTGTTTGACTTCTTGCTATCTCTCTTAAACAATGTTCTGCCAACATTTACACAAGCTCTTTGACTGTATTCTTCATATTAGTAATGCATTTCTTGGATGATGTGAACATTGCTCGAAAATAATTATTCGAAAACAATTATTCGAAAAATATTTATTCAAATTGTAAATAGTTTGAATAAAAATTAATCGAAAGGACAATTATATTAAATGATAATTATTTGAAATACCTATGTTTGGAATAGGCATATGGTCTTGCTTTGAGAAAGTCAATGCTGATTTATCGAGAACTATGAAAGGGCCTTGAAGGATGATATAAGACTTTTTTGCAGTAACTTTTATCCAAATATCCCGCAATATAGGAAGTCTAAGATGATGTTAAAAGAGAACAGGACTTTCAAAAAATTCATATTGCAAAAGTAAGAGCAGGTTGCTAAAATACCAAGTGCGCCAAGAAATACCCCGTTATAAATGGAAAACTTAAAATTTTAAAATTAACAGCCTGACAAGTGCTGAGTGAATCTTTTCTTGATTTTTTTTTAATCGTTTCACCCCAAGCAAGGCAGGAAGCTACTAGCACGCAAGGGATTACAGAGAGTTGGAGCGAGAGAAAATAGGAGTGATAGAGGAAAGGATGAAGAGAAGGATAGGGGATAGATCAAGGCATCTGGAGACGTCGATTGACATTACATTTGAATAGTTGGAGATTATAGCTATCAGGAAAACAAGAAATAGAGAGAGATTTCCACGGGCGAGAAGTGCGAGCCAAGAATCTATTGGAGTAGAAGAGACGGCTATATTTAACAGTTTCGACAATGCAAGTGTGAGAGAGAGATGCCAGCCTAGCTGAACGCTTAAATTCATGAAATCTGGGAACCAGCGAAAGCAGCTCATCGAAGCAGTTACTATGAAAGTATTTGTAAAAAAGACAGAGGGAGGCAACGGCACGTCTGTAAGAGAGCGACTGCAGACGAGATGCCAGATCAGGGCCAAGTACATGATTATGTGAACATTGTTCGAAAACAATTATTCGAAAAAATTCGAATTATAAATTGTTTGAATGAAAATTAATGGAAAGGACAATTATATTAAATGATAATTATTCGAAATGCAAATATCGTTAAGAAAACAATTTAGCAAGAAAAATTCCTTATAACCTTAACTTATATGACACTGCAAGGAAATAGTCAACTACTGAAGAGTACTCGTTAAAGGAAGCCATTAATTTTTTAAGTTTTCCTTTTACGTGGTTCTACTTG